TCTTTTTAGGGATCAATAGCCTCTTTTATGATGCAAATGCTAAAAAAAGACAAACACAAAAGCAAAAAGTTAGTGAAAATAAGAAAAATAATAATGAATGTAAAATGTAAAAAGAAAAGAGAAAAAAAACAAACAACACAGTTAGGGTAAAAGCATTATATGGTTTGAAATGGGGTTTCTGGGTAGGCTCTAATTTTTTATAATCTCCTAGTTTAGGTTTTTAAAAATGGTACCCGAGTTCTCCTTGCTGGTGCCCCCTTGGGCTTGCTAGACCCTTAGTCCTAAGCCCATTACAAGCTTGTGTGGACTAAGTTAAACTCGAGATGAAACATTCCCTTATACCCGCACAATGAATAAATTCACACGAAGACATAAGGTATATGAATCCCGAAGGCTACTTGCTAGGCCCGTACGGTGAATAAATTCACATGAAAGCGTCGTTTTTACCCCTACTTAAATAGGGTTCGGAGCTCAGGTATAGAGCCTTCGATGAAAAACAAGTTTGGAAGGATGAAATCATTAGAAAACGGTTAGTACAACTATTTACTCGAAAATATAATCAAAAGTAAGCAATAAGGATCGAAATGTTACCTTAAAATTTAAACTTACCCTTTTCGTTAAAAAGACAACTGGAAATTACCTTAGCCCGACTCACTTACCTGTCTCCAACGGAGTCGCCAAGTTGCCGGAACTGTCTTTCGGGTGGGCCTGGAATTGGGCTTCGACTTAGGAAAATGGATTAGGACTCGCCACCGATCATTTATTTTAAAACAAATGAGTTGATCAGATACCTTATTTCTTACCTGATCCGCGTCTTACCAAAGATGTGTCGAATTTTGGAGTCGGTTACAGTCAAGGAAGGGTTAACACCCTTGAACTGCCCTTTAAGTATTACGTAATTTTCAGTTGTCTTTAATTAAGAGAATTAAAAGTTTAAAGTAAAAAGGGTAAAAATTGATCCAAATTGCTTACCTTTGATTGATTGAAATACCCTTAAAAATAAAGATATTAAAACAAGTGAAAATGAATAAAACAAAGGAAATAAAATAAAGAAAATAAGAATGAAAATAAAAAAAGTAAATAAGCAAAATAATAAAAAGTAAAATAAATAAATAAATGAAATAAGGAAACTAAAGGTAACATACACATAAAAACGAAAATACCAAAATAAAAAATGGGTAAATAAATGAAATAAATATGTATAAAAAATAAAATGTTAAAGAAAGAAAGAAAAAAGATAAATAAATAATAAGAAAAATGCAAGTAATAATAAATAAAGAATAAAAGATAATAACGAAAAACAAATAAATATATATAATAATCAAGTATAGAATAAAACAAACAGATAGAAATAAATATATATATACATATAATAATAATAATAATAATATATAATAATAATAAAATGTAATATAAAAAGATAAAAAAATAAAAAATGAGATTACGAATTGAATTTAACAGGGGTTGAATTGAATTTAACAGGGGCTAAATTGAAAAGCAAAATGAATTGAGTGGCCAAATTAGAATAAAATCGGGGTTTAAATTCGATTTAAGGGGTAAAATATAAGCCTTTGAACGCAGATGGACCAAAAGTGGGACTTCCCCACTAATTCTTGAAAACACGCGGACCTAAGGCTTCCTGGGTCAGGTCAGCGGGCCGGATCAGGTCCAATATAAAAGTTAAAAAAATTAATTCTTCATTTCTCCTCATTCTCGCCAAAACGCCCCTCCCCCATTTTGCAAATCCTCGAGATTTTCAGTATCCGAACACCCTACACCGTCACCGTTGATCGACGACGACCACCGGTCGGCAAAACACGAAAAAAATTTATTTTCTAAAAGCTTTTCCCCTCCTCGTTTCGAAAATACAAATAATTTTTTTAGATCAAGCCTCGAGGATAGTAGATCTAGGAACGAATGTTCGAAAAATCCTCTCCACCTCTATCATTGGCTTTTTTTTCGAATCAACCAAAAAAGAATATGAACAACACGCATACAAGTGGAAATCAAACCGAAGGTAAAAAAAATATTACCTTTTTATTTCTTTACTTTCGAATGTTTGGTTCAATTTCTCGTATTTGCTAGTGTAATCGTGTCCATTGTGTGTGGCTAGTTGTGTTTATTTATAATACAAAAAAATGCCCCATTTTTAGTATTGGATCCCGAGTGAAACTCGGCTTGTTTGGTTGATGAGAGTCCTGTTAACACACGTTCGTTGTGCTTGTTGAACATGCGAGAAATGGTCGTGAAAAGAGGCGTGCGGTTGACCGAGAAGTGGCGCTGGACGAGGTGGGAGCACAAGGCACACTAGGGTTTCTGGAAGTCCCTAGAGCTTGGACCGGTTTGGGTTACTTGGAGCGGGTTCGGGTCTGGCATGTTGTGGGTTATCCTGTTGTTTGGGTCTTTGGGTTGTTGTACATGCGGGCTCGTTGGGCCACATGTAAATATTTGTCAGGCCTACAAATGTAAAAAAATGAAATTAATAATATTATATATATAATATTATATATATATAATATATAAATATTATAATAGTGAGGGAATGACGAAATCATGTGTCTACAATGTCGAAAATGTTTGGAAAGTAAATTATGAAAATACCCTTATGAAGTAAAAAGATAACGAAATTGACCCGAATATTAGAATTAACCTGATAATTCATTCTTGACCTAATAAAACTACAGATTCACCAACTAAACTCCTGACTTGTTTGGAAGACCTGTAAATCGCTTGGATGACCTGAAAATCGGTTCCTAATCCTCGAGATCAGTAATAACTAAAATAGCCCTAAAAAGCCATCATTTTTCTAATAGACTACTTATTCACTTGATAAATATTCGGTTTGTTCAGAAACATCCTGATTACCGATTTTAATTCCCAAGCGGTAAAAGATTTAGAATTTTCTGAGTTTGGAATAATCACCCGATGATTAAATTACTAGAAATGATATATATATATATATATGAATGAATCAAAGAAAATGATTGGAATACCCTCGTGCTTAAAATGACAAAAAATTAACTTTAAATGTTGATATAACCAAAATACCCCTGAATTTTAGAAGGACCGAAATACCTTAAACTCTAATATGACCGAAGCAATATCAAGTACAAAAATGACCCGACTACCCTCATGATCTAGAAATAATTATATGTTATTGTATAATTCTGGAAACACCGAGAAAACCTAAGTATTATATCGCCTCTAAAGGTTGTGGAGTACGACTCAAGTACGTCGGTTATCTTAGAGATTGTTGCAATACATAAATAAATTAAATATCATCGAAATACATATAGTTCCTCAAGATCCGTTCAACGATGGTTCTGAAGATGATCAGTTTGACTAGTGTTATTAGTATTAAAGTGTGAGTATTCTTGAAGTGCATCGATTTGAGTGGTTGACAGGTATCACAGTGGTGGGATTTATTCAGTTCGAGTTGATATGATATCATGATAAATCGACATGAATCTTGAATACCGTAAATCATCATTTCACTCTTATTGGATTAAGTTGCTAAGAATCCATTAGAAATTAAAGTGCCTGAAATACCCCTAATGGCCTAAATAATGGAATCGCTTTGGTTATATCTGAAATCTTAATTTATTATGATGTAAAGGTTCCTAAATACCTTTCTGATACACCTGAAATCCTAAATGGTCTTGAAGCATCAATCTCTAAATGTTTGTTTAGATCCTTTAGCAATTAAACCCTTTTAATAGAGACCTCGATCCTGAAATCTGATCAATTTTGTGTAAGTTCATATTTTCTATTCCTGATAATTTTCAGGCGCCTTCGGAAAATATCTGGATCCTCTAGTGTGTTCCCTGTTGACAATTTTTTTCTAATTTATCTAAAGTATGGTTTCTGATATCTGGTTTCTGATTTCTAACACAAGATACAATTAGCTCATGATTTCTGATATTATTGTCTGTTATCTGATCTGTTTTATTTAGGTACTATCTGGGTAGATGTCTGGAGATTCTGAGGTTCAACTAGCTAGTAAATCCCTTTTGTTATAATCATTCATATTGGACTCCTAGATCCTAGGGTTAGGGTAAGTCCTTATGAATGTCTGTTATGGAGTATTGCATTTGGTATACGGTTGGAGGAAAACTATGTATTTTAAATAAAAACACAACTTTTGTTTTTTGATATTACCGGTTCTATCTGAAACTGTTTTATTGGGGTACTGTCTGGGTAGACATTTGGAGTCTCTGAGGTTCAGCTAGCTGGTAAGTCCTTTTTGTTATGATCATTCATATTGGACTCCTAGATCCTAGGGGGTCTAAGGTAAGCTCTTATGAATGATGTCTTGAGGATTTTCACATGGAGTATTCGGATGGAGGGTACTACAATGATTTTAAAAAACCTATTTTACTAAAATAATTACTACTATTTTTCAACTATGATTACATTTTACTCTGGTTTTGAAGGAACACGCTAGACGTCTGTTTCAATCTTTGAATCTGATCTTCTGAATGTTTCCTCTGAGCTATAATCTACTTGTCTGTTACCTGAAGAAATATCAGTGGAACCTCAGCTCTTCACAGAGACTTGTAGATGTTTGAATCAATAAGAAAATTTTTATGCTTGTTATTTATCTGCACGTCCTTCAACATCACCTGGTAGTTCTGTATTACAGAGTTTTCCAAATCTCATTTTGTTATTCACCATTTCAGGTTAAAAGATTGATCCAGTGCAGCTATTGACTTCAGTAATGAGAGTTCCTTCGGTTTTGCTTATAGAGTATGGTACAAGTGTAATTAGGGGGCATGTAGGTCACATTTGATTTTTATATTGAGTCTGAAACTTTTATGATGGGAGATATGAACGGATTTTGTTTTATGATTTGAAAGATTTCTACACTTATATTTTTATATGTTTTAATAAAAATTTTAAATTTTTCAGTTATTTTTATTGTGAGTCGCTTTAGTGATCCTAATGTGATACATCGGATTAAATCGGGTCGTCAGTAACAGTATGGGGTTGTTACACTAACCTTTTTCCTTTTCAGTCTTTATTATACGCCGTTCTCAACCGCTGCTTTGCATTTTTTTTATAAAAAAATTGTCATGGAGGAGATGAAGCACTCGCCACCGCTAGACACTTCAACAACCACTGCTACAGCCGCCGGAACTGAAGGGCAAGGGACTTCTTTGATGTCTCGACTGAAGAAAGATTGCTTAGCTTTTGGAGTTTCTTTGCAAGAGGGATTTCGATACGTTAAAGCAACCATAGTTGGTCAGGTAGGAAACAGAACCGAAAGCTTTTATATAGACCACCCTTTTCTTTCAACTCTATTTTTTTTGGATGCAGGCAAAGAAGCTGAAAGCAAAGGATGAGAAGGAAGCGGCAACAGCCGACTTGCAACCTCAAAAATTGCAGGTTGAAGCAGCCGATGAAGCCGAGAATAACAAGAAAAGAATCTACAAATCCATGTAACCAAATTACATAACTATACATTCAAGTAACACGTTGCTTTCTTTTTCATACAGTTGTAAATATAACCCCTTTGTATTATTTCAAGCTGGTATCTGTAAATGTAAAACTTCTTCATGTATGAGAAATGTGTAAAGATAATTTTCTGGTAAATATATACAAATCCAAAGCTTTCAGGTGGAACTAGAAGAGGGACATTCAAGCCTTATATAGTCATACATGATCCCCTGAAGGGAATCAGTGTTTATTGCTTGTGTCAAAAAAATGATATTCTCCCCTTCCACAAGCTCAACGCCACCCACGTCTATGTTATAAAGTCGGTACAGCCCATGAATTCCATGCCTTGCAATTGTGTTATCATGCCCGATTGGTCCAGTGGTGAACAGAGGAGGGTCTGATTTTGGATCATTGACCCGAACCTGTTATATGACATTGAAAATACGTTTCAAATTCAAGCTCCAAAATGAAATAGGCCAACTGCATATTTACCTGCAATTCAGCTAGATGTGCAGTTGCTAGGGCCAGTCTCAATTTGTAAGTTCCAGTATGATCAACATCTTGGAGCGTGAACTTGATTTGCCATGTAGTTGCTTGATAAGTACCATCTTTTTTCTTCCTGTGATTATTTTTCATCTTTCTATTAAGCAAAGTTGTAAAAATGAGTTTTTTACCTATGAATATTAAAGAAAAATGAGATTTCTTTCCAATTGATGAATGGAAAATAAAGTTGGAAGAGGTGTACCTGTTAACTTGTGCAAAGAACCAGTCATTTTTGTATTGACTAACGCCAATTGTGAAAACCAAGTCCCCATCAGGATAAAGATCATCGTATCTTTCCCACAACCCATATTGTCTATACCTGGCCATCACATACATTTTGATTTTTCCATTGAATTTCAAGTGAATTTGGCTCATTCAAAACCATCCCAACACAAGTACAAATGTAAGTTCATGCCAATATGATTTAACTTACCTGTCAGGATGGTTGACATAAAGTTTATTAATGTACTTAGGGTCGGGTTCCGGAATGTAAAACTCGGCCACCGAACGATCTGGGATGCCGATTTCCCACAATGTAGGGCCATCTCTTGGAGGCTCGTATATCAGATCACCCACATCAATGGAACAACCTGCATTGGATATCATTGGAGGTGAAATACAATTGACAACAACAATAAAATATAATACCTTATTTTCATGATTCAGAAATCGAAACCTTCTGTAATGTTAACCACAACATCATATCTGTAATCTCCAATGAAACCAGGGACCCATGCAAAAACATTATATGCACCAGTCCTTATATTATTGATTATGAAGTTGCCATCATCATCTGCTCTGGTCCAGAATTGATAACCCTGATCAAACAATTTGTTACATATAATTAGAAGCTTGTTCACAATTGATGAACTTTTTGTTTTAGAATTCGATCACCTTGCATTCTCTTTGCCACGATCCGACATCGCCTGTTGGTGCCAAGCCTATATAAGCACCATTTGCTGGGATGGATTCATATCTGACATACCTGAATAATGTCAAATAATCTGTGAATTATTCAGGAAGATTCACAGTGACACTAATACATGCAAATGACAGAAACTGAAAATATGGAACCTGTCTTGAACTTTTAGCCTGCCGCATACTTTACCCCGTTGATCCGATTTCGGAAAATCCTCTGATGCTGGAAAACTGTAGGGCCAGTTCTGGGTCTCCCTCTGCATCTGAAGGCCATAATTGTACAAATTCTTTTTCGTACTAACAAAAATATATGGGAAGATTCTATCTTATCCAAACCTGGTTTTTAGCATCTTCCCAAAGGGAAAAACAATTGTCTTCACTTGATACAGAATTCAGATACAAGAAAACCGGTCCGAAAACCTTTTTCCATGGCTCCCCCGGGTTGAGCTTCAGCACCAAATCCTCTCCAGCATAGTGAGCACTAAGAAACATCTGGTTTTATCATTTAGAAACAACTTGATATAATTAGGAATCACCATTAAAGACCAACAGAATATAATGAAACATTGGAGAACTATGTGTTTAAAATATTAACTAGTACTTACTGCAAGACAATAAGGGCCGACATGGGATGTCAGATTCTGTTTGACGGGTCCACCAGACCTGAATTCACTGCTGGGAGTAATTTGCCAGAAACCAACTGGGGGGTTCATGGATATCCACCCATGGACTTTTAGATCTTTGTTCTCGGATGAATATTGATACTTGTCATCAACCTGTTCATCAGTCAATCAAATATGAAATATAAATGAAAATCTGTTTGAGATACTTTTAAGCCCTTTTGAGTTATTTATCTGTTATAAACCGAAAACAAATATAACCTCTCCTCTGAACTCCGGCTCCACAGGATTGACAAGCAGTACGGCTTCCGGGGTTGCCAGAGGTTGGCCTCGGTCTGGTAACCGGTCATCTGGCAGAGGCATGAATCTTTGCCTGTTGTCTGCTACGGCCATGTAATGAAATCTAACATTTAAGTATCAAAGTATTCAATATTTCATATGATGAACCATAGCTTTACCAAACATGTCAAACTAATATCTGACAAAAATCTACAAATTTTCTCCAAGACAAAAGCCAAATGTAAAACCATGAACAAAACCAAATATGGAGGATGTCTCGTTACTTGTCTTTTCTGAGCTTGAATACAATTCTGACTTGTGGAAGATTGAATGGAGGCCATTCCTCTAAGTGTTCAAAGATGGCATAGGAGTAGAATCCCGACGAATTTCGAAGCATTATGAACCTGGAAAATCCATCATTTGCAGCAAAAGTTATGTTTGTTTGCCTTTGCTGATTAATATTTTGTATGAATTGTCTTAAACTATATTAGTGCAAGCACAGACCTTTTGTCTAAATTCAAGGGAACAACACTACCCTCCAGAGAGAAATCCCACGTTCTTGTGAACGAAACCTCCACTTGATCCTCATTTTCTACTACAACCTTAAAACTTGTTCCTTTAAACCTGTATGGTGCATTCTCAACTTCCATCATGTTAACTTCTAATATGTCGTAAAATAAGAAACAGACACAGGAAAGTGCATAGAATAAAAGTGAGATGGTGCGCGTACACGTCGAATGTTCCTGTTGTCCCTGTACTTCCTGTTTTACTCCAAACTAGATCCCAAAACCTGTCAATGGCATGGGAAAATTAGCTCTAAAAAGAACAATGTTTGAAAGGAAAATAGCAATGGTGATGCTATGGGTCGCTGTTACCCTCTATTAACTTCCTCATCCTCGACTTCAAGCAAGTTGTCGGTGCCATTATATTGTATTCCAGTGACAATCCCGTCAGGATTTGATATTGTCACTTGTAAGATTCCATTATCCAACACCACCTGCAGCGATTATCATGTTTAAAGCAAGAGATAACTTTGTTTAAACTTTTCAAAGACATTAACTAAGAACTTCATGGTCATTCCCTTCATTTTCCTAGAAATATCCGTATTCAACACATTTGGACAAGGATATGGGATAATATGACTCTCCAAAGATAAAAATAAATAAACTTAACACATTCAGGTGGGACACATACTCGCATTTGACACTCACACTCGGGTCTAAGTAACATAGCCTGTACCTTTGTTCTAACGAGTTTCAAACAGGCACAATGATTACAAGACAGGGTGGAAAAACAGTCCCAAAAGTACTTTGAAACCAAAGATTATTATGATAAAACTTCATAGTAAACAATAAGTTTAATTAAAATTACATAATGATCTTGAATATGCAGTTGCACCCCTGGTGATGACATGGTTTGCCTTTTCTTAGCTCTGGAACTTCAGCACGGCTCTTATTTCTCCACAAAATAAGTAGAAAATGGTAACCATATATAAGTTAACAATTGAGAAACTTCACGTGTAATACAATCAGAAGCCCTCCTGGATAAGCTACTTGGTAGATGCTTAAAGGAATCTGTTTCACCTACTTTGTTTTTAACTTGGGGGAAAGCATTATTTTCCTTTACTTGATCTCTTCAGGTTTTAGCAAACTGCAGTTGGTAAGCTTGATAATGATTTTATAGAAATTGGATAAGGTACTGTAATTGCAAGTTTTAACATGATTTGAGATATCCCAGAGTTTTGTGCAAGGTTTGCTTGAGGCCCAAACATGGATTGCAGGTGCCTTGAGGGTTAAAATTCGGCTTCTTTGGTTGTCTAACAAGCCAAATTAAAGTTGGAAATGCGTTTATCTTAAATTGTCTAAACCTCTTACATGACTGAACATGGCTTCACATGTTATTGATAAGCTTAATGGAACTCTGTGTTGAAGCAAAAACAAACGAACCTTTTGAAGGGACAAAAATGTTAAATTCTTAAATTAATGGTTCAAACCAAAATGATATGCTAAGGAGAAGCTCCCTTTTAATGCTAGCTGTAGTAGGATTTGGAGGAACAGGGATGACGAATTTATAAAATGAGAATAAACATGAGGCGTTGAGAACAAGGAATGTTTCCAAACATACGATTAAATTGCTGGATTAAAACAATACGAAATGTAGATTGAAAAATGCATACATTTAATGGAAAAGAAATCCAGGAAAGAAACCAATCTGGCCAAGAAACATCAACACCTGCTTATTTGCTGATAAAGGTAACTATTCTTCTACATATAACAAGTACACAGTTACATTACATATATCCATAAATTATTTTGGCTACGGATAAATCCGGCTTTATTCCTTTGCTTTACCATTCATCACTTTACTAATCATCATTCACAAGTATAACATTTATCAATTAATAAACAGATCCTACTAATAATTCTAATTTATACCTTTTCCGAATTAACATGTAGTAGGAGGACCTTCTAAACGGATGTAATCATACATGAATCCTTGGAAAGGACCGTTGCATCTTGGTTGTTTCAGAAAGATGGTATTTTCCCCTTTAACAAGTCTAGTACCAGGTATGTCCACATTGTACAGCATGTAGATCCCATGAATTCCGTGTCTCGCTATTGCGTTGTCCCTCCCTATCAGTCCAGTCGTAAAGAGAGGACGATTTGAATTTGGATCATTAACCCGAATCTAGAATTGCAGAAAAAAGTTGAGAAAAAATGGTTTTTCCATAGGATAACTGAACTAAAGCAACAAAGACTTTGACTGGCCTCACCCGTCAGCAATGTTGTGTAGTTGTTTACCTGCAATTCAGCTAGAGTGGCCGATGCAAGTGCCACTCGCAATTTGTAGATATCATTCCGATCCACATTATCGACGTCAAATTTGATTTGCCATGTAGTTCCTTGATATGCATTATTTCCTATCTTCCTGAGATTTTCAATAATTACTCTACCATTAAGAGAACGACAGATCACACAAAACAAAACTGATGCTATAAGCTGTACCAGTGTACCTGACAACCTGTGCAAAAAACCAATCTTTCCTGTAATCACTAACACCAATTTTGTAAACCAAGTCTCCATCAGGATATAGTTCTGTGTATCTGTCCCACAACCCGTATTGCCTAAACCTGCCGGTGAGGGAACCGAAAATGAGAACTAAGAACATTTTGAGGAAGGAATTTGCATAGCTCCAAATTCTTTGGACTGTGCACATCAAATAAGTAAACTCGAGAGAGGTTCTCCAAATTCCATATTACACGAAGCATATGCAAAAAATTCTTAAAAAGACTAACGGAACAAAAGCATCTTTGAGAGGCTGGAGTAAAAGAATAGGTGCTGTTCAAAGTATAAACTCGAGTTCATCATATCACAACTCTTTAGAGATTGCAAAAGAATGCATCTAACCTGTCAGGATGGTTGAGAAAAAGCCTATTGATATACTTTGGATCGGGATCAGGAACATAGAACTCCGCAGCTGACCGATCAGGGATGCCTATTTCCCACAATGTTGGTCCATCTCTTGGGGGTTCATATAGAACATCACCCATTTCAATGTTACAACCTGTACTTGATATTACATAAAACATATCATGATTGTGATATTAGTCTACTAATGAGTACATCAAAGTATGAAAAGCAATTACCTGAGCTTATGGTAATGACAGCTTCGTGTCGGAAATCTCCAATAAACCCAGGGACCCATGCATAGACAGTGTAGTCACCAGGGCGAATATTTCTAATGGAGAAAAAGCCATTCTCATTTGCTCGGGTCCAGAATTGGTAGTTCTAATCAGAAGCATAAAAACAAAAATTACTATCTTGAAGAGTGATTAATTACACAGTTAGCATCATCAAGAAAATTACAATCACAAAGCTTAAATGTCAACAGAAAAGGAGTGAAAGACAAAAGGTATCAGCTACTGTTGCATGCTTCATGGAATTATAATATGAGTTTCAAGCAATCTTACCTTGCTTTCCATTTGCCACGAACCTGCATTTCCGGGAGGAGCCAAGCCTATATATGCACCACCAGCTATTACGTTCTCATTGCTGATATACCTAGATAGAGTAATAAACAGAAAAAAAAAAGTAACTATTACATTTACTTACAAAGAAAAACAGCGGATAAAATTAGAATAGGAATCAATATTTCATTTTTGATGGTTCGAAAAACATGAGTGGATAGAACAAAAGTGGAAGTCTAGAACATTTAATCATTTTAGCTATTTTCCTAATTCACAAATTTAGAAAATGCAGTAACAGTAGCAGTATCATTATTGCAGTTATTCTTGATATCAAGATTACTGCTATTAATCATCTTGTCACTTTTCTGATAAGTGACTCAATGAGCACAGGGCAGTGATATATTCTTCTAATAGGCTAAAACAAGCTTCTATTGAAAAGTATGTCCATCTAAATCACGTCACCCATCTGTGCTTTGTGAACCTCTAATAACTAGGTTATTAGAGATGTAAAATTTATCTTGCATGCATACCTGTCTTGGACTAATATTCTGCCATTAACATTACCCCGTTGATCTGACTTCGGGAAATCCTCCGAAGCAGGGAAACTGTATGGCCAGCTTTGGATTTCAACCATCATCTGCAGATTAACCATACAATTATATTCTCGAAAGATATCAACGCAAAAAATATAAAGCATTTCCAATATCAAACCTTGATTTTAGCATCCTCCCACAGCCAAAGTGGATCATTTCCATAGGCTGCGGAATTAAAATACATAAAAACAGGGCCAAAAACTTTCTTCCATGGTTCCCCAGCTTCAAATCGTGGAACCATATATTTACCTGCATAATGTGCACTAAGAAACATCTGCAGATGCCATTTAAATCAAGAGTTAATGTAAAAGTTTATGATCATAGCAAATAACTTTTTACTGAGATAAAGAAACAAAGTGATGTCAATTTCTTTATTAAGTACCGTTGTCTGAAAAAAGGCACTTACAGCCAGAGTGGTGGGTCCTACATGTGAGCTTAGGTTCTGTTTTAGGGGCCCACCAGATCTGAACTCGTCACTAGGTGTGATTTGCCAGAACCCAACAGGTGGGTCAAAGCAGATCCAACCATGAACCCGAAGATCTTTGTTCTCACATGAATACTGATACTTGTCATCCACCTGAAAATCAAGAAGTCATATCAAACATGTATTCCTGCGTGCATGCTGATATGGCAAAAGCAATCCTAATAATAACCAAGCTAGGGCTAGAGACTTCAAGTTAACAAGGACAAGCAACATATAAACTTTGTCACATTGGAATAATGAAGTTTGTAAACTGTTCAACAATCTACTTGAAAAGAGGTTACTGCATATGGAAGAGAAAATAGCCAAGACAAGCACACAAGGAGAATGGAAATGCCAAAGGTACCTCTCCTGTTAGCCTCTGATCCATGGGATTGACAAGTAGGACTGCTTCTGGATAAGCCAAAGGTACACCTCTTCCATTTGATCGGTCATCAGGGAAGGGCATGTATCTTTTCCTGTTATCTGCTATGGCCATGTATTGAAACCTGTGATAATTCAGAAGTCCACACAATCAACCAACTTTAGTTATTCAAAATTACTTCACTTAAACCATACATTGGTGGCTCAAAGACTCTACATATGTTTGAATCAGCTCAAGGTCACATACAGCTGTTCATTCCATTTCATAACCTATCTAGGATTAGTGACTTGCATCACTGGCCTTAAACAATAACTGGAAGCTATCTTTTAACGGTATGTGAGAACATAATTCTTATAATCAAACTCCATTTGACAAGGATAAAAGCCATATTTCTTACAATTGCATTTCTGGACAAAAGAATTAAGTTTATTTCTTAGAATATTTCACATGAAATTGTAGGTTTTTTAAAGAAATTCATTACTGAACAATTAATTTGTTACTTGTCTTTTCTGAGCTTGAAAGTAATTCTGGTTTCACCAAGCTCAAAACCAGGCCATTCCTTGAGATGCTCGTAGATGGCATAGGAGTAAAAGCCTGATGAACCACGTAGCATTATAAACCTGGATAAAGATGTTTATGATTAATAGTTTTTCTTTTCTTTTTTTTTTTTTGCTGAAATCTCAGTAGCAAAACTATGCATGGTTTAAGCACGGACCTTTTATCAATATTTAGGGGAATGTACTTGCCCTCTAGGGAGGGGTTCCAAGTTCTTGTGAACGAGAGCTCAACTTGTTCCTCATTTTCCACTATAACTCGAAAACTTGTTCCTTGGATTCTGCAAAGTGATAACTCTTGCTTTGCACTTTAGTTGACCACAATAGTAATTCTTTTATGAAATGTTTAGAAAGCTATTTGGTATTCCAAATAATAAGAGAGACACTTCTAGAAATCAAGATCTGTCCTAATGAAATTAAGTTGAATTGTTACATTCTGATTTTCATATATGAAGAGAAGAGGAAAATGTACATACACATCAAATATTCCCTTGCCTCCTATTTCATTCCAGTGCAGGTCCCAATACCTACAATCAGAAAATTTTAGTCAAATAGAGACGAAAAGCTCTGGTTAGCTATGATTTGATTAGGAAAGAAAAATAATATATATATATATACAAAGTACGTAGTAAATTTTCTATATGAGGACTACCAAAACTTGTTTGTAATATTTTCCCTGAAAAAACTAGAAAACCTCGTTGCCCTTAATCTACATGGTCCAACTTATATCTTGATTTAAATTTAATTACATTAATTCCATGTTTAGAAATCCCTATTAATAAACAGCTGGGGAGATAGCTGTAATAACACACACCCTCTATTAGTTTCCCTGTTTCGAACTTCAAGCAAGTTGTCAATCCCATTATACCGTATTCCGGTAACAATGCCCCCTGGTTTTGATAATGTGACTTGAACTATGCCATTATCCATCACCACCTGCACAAAATACCATTTACAATCATAACCAACTCAAAATCTGTCAGATGTTAATTTCTATAAGATGCCAACCATTCGTGTATTAGGCATATCAAATCCCATCAATTTCAGGAATACAAAATGAAAAACGACACAAAAATTAACTTACATAGCAGTCTTGATTATGCAATCGGACTTCCTGTGTAAGCATTGGAGCACAATTTGTATCCTGATTCATGTTCAACGTATCTGAAAATACTAAGGGTTAAGAAACAGTTTTATGATAGGATTAAAATTTAGAGAAATAGAAAAATAAACCAACAAAACAGACAAATATTTTGAGGCTTTTGCTTACAGAACAAAGCAATCTCTTCTTAACCTAGGATATGCATGTAAGAGTAAGAAGACTATATGGCTATATCATAAATAATATCGTGAAAATGTCTAAAATTAAATGTAAATTTTGAATATACGATCTTGATCAATGATCATGACTTGGTTTTTCTGCTTCCACGTCAAGCATTTAATATTGCCACTCCCTTTCTTCATTGAAGATGGTTTCAATCAAATCCTTTTCATTTCATTTTCATTTCAAGAAGAAATTTCGAAAATAAATAAAAATCTTCGAGTCGATAAAACTGAAAGTGGCAATTTTAAAATTTGAATTACCTTGTCTTGCATTTCCAGTACGACTTTTACAGCCACCACAGTCACTGAAACAATTTATGATCCTCCCCACAGTGCTCGTCATGGATGATCCTCTGTCACGGTATCAGGCTGTTATAAGATCACCGTACAAGAGAAAAACGGCGGTAATGGCGGTGGTTGGTTAATCGGAAATATTTTCAATGAAGAAGCGGCAGTCGCAAGCGATTGATCTTCGGCTACGGTAATGTGGCGGGTATGGGTTTAACAGTCGAAGGCGCGTGATTGATTTCACGATGGAAATGGGAAAACGAATTTACTTCTTTATTTTCTTAAAAATACAATAGCTCCGTAAAACGATTTCGTTTCGGGTTGATTGTTCAAACATCAAAACAATATCGTTTTGGACGACCAACTCACTGTTCAGCGAAATTTTGATATTTTAGTTAAATCCTTCCACCTTTATATATATTGTAAATTTGTCCTTTTTACTTGTTTATCTTTTATTGTAATCCTTATTAATCTGTATTTTTTGTAATTTAATCTATCAACGTGTATAATTACGTTTGAGCCCTTCAATTTCTAGTTTCTTTCAATTTAGTCTCATTTTACATATTAATTACTATTTTAACCACTGTAAGTTCCTTTTCCTTCAATTTAGTCCTAATATATCTGTTTAAGTTTTTAGTATTATTAACAATTCAACATCATTTTTCATGCTTCATTTATTTTTAAAAAATAAGACTAAATTATTTTCAAGGTACTTATTTTAGACGTGATGGGATGCATTAATTTTCTCCGCATGTAACTGACTCCAACTCCTAAACTCCATTTTGATCATGATATTAAGAGCATATCAAATTTGAAGATATTCGGTAATATCTAACACAAATGACCGAATAACGACTTCATCTCTTGAAAAAAAAGAGTCGAGATTTTTTTTTCAAACCACCTCAAGCAACACAGTATATGCATGAGAAAAGAAGGAAATATTTCAACATTTCAAAATATTTTTCTGTTACTATAGTGATTATAATTAGGAATTACAAAAAAGGCAATAGTAATAGTTTCATTTTCATGTACATAAATTCAGAAGTGAAGAAGCAAATATGGCGAAGGGATTGACCATAAATTATCAGAATCTGAATCGAGTTTTAAAACATCAAGTAGTATACGCTCTAGGATAAATTTGAGTTACAGAAGTCGAATACGTAAGCTCTCAAATTGACTTACACAAAGCTAAATTACCGGACCGGTCTCCATTGTCTTCTGGAAAAAAAGTGATCCTAATAAAACAGCAATGCCAGCTATTGCAATTGTGAATAAAAGTCGTCTCCGTGAATATTCAGGTGGCTGCCTTCTCTGAGCACCTTGCTCCCTTTCAGCTGGCCTCACATCCCTAAACATAGGTCCCAAATCCATGAAATTAAACCTGTGATACTTGGTACAATTCTCTTTAGACAATGCAGAAAACAAAGCTAAATCCTGATGCAGTTTTCGGATTACTAATAGAAGTGTGCGCCAAATATTAGCAGTAAACATCATTACTATTAATTGAAGTAGGTTCGATTAATATCCAGGTGAGATCAACACAAGTTCAAATATGTACTATTTCCTGGCCTATAATGGATTATGTAGTTCTTGTGATTGATGGTTATGTTACTAGGATTTAGATATGAGCATCTCGCAATGATATTTTCCCGACAAGGATATATATGTTCAGTTCCTTTTTCTATGTACTTGGAGGATCTTGAAGGATCATACCCCCATACCCATGTCCATCAGATAAAAGTATTGAACACGAATACATAAAAAAGAGTTAAAGAATTGGAGCAACATAGCTTAATGGAAGGGGTGGGAAAAGGGCAAAAATCACATGGCATATACAACCCTTGATTAAATGTCACAACCAGGGTTTCAAATCATGGTCGCGGTCGCATTTTCGGTCATTTCGGGTTTACCGTGATTGTGGCTGTCGCAGGCGCTATTGCGGCCGTCGCGGGCACTATTGCGGGTGTAGCGGGTAACTCGGACGGCAGCGAAACCGCTATTTCGCAGGCGCTATCACGTTTTCGGACCGTGATTTGAAACACAAGTCACAACTATGTTCATCCAAAATGCAGCATTAGACACAATTTCCCAAAGAACTAGCTCTTGGTATGGAAATACATTCAATAGAAAGCAATGAATACTTTTAACATAAATCCTCCTCAGATAACTGAAAGTTACTAATTACCGGACTGAAATTTGCGAGTACAAAATGCCAACTTGCTACTAGATACTAGGGAGACAAAATATAACTTCAGAGCATAGGTCATCAGTCGTAAAAAAAAATTGTGGATAAACAATAACCTATTCCTACTGGAACATTGCAATTGTAAATTATAGCATGTATACCTGGAAGATCCCACATTGTCTTCTGGAATACCATTACACTGACTTTCATGTTTATATCTTTCTCTCAGTCTAATGTATCTGTTACACAGATGACAGAGCTCTGTCCGGTTCCCACATACTTCCTGAAATAGCAAAGCAACATCAACATTATAACAGTTTCACCTAGTAAAAATCATTGGAATCCTTTACTGAAAAATGATTAAAAAATTAGTACCTGATGCTCAGCCAGATCAATAGCAGGCAATGGAAACTCACAAAACTCACAAGTAACAATCCTCTGGGGGCAATTTTCACCTTTATGGATAGCTAGAATTTCACGTTCCATTGTCTCACTACACAGTGAACAGGTAACCTGCTTGATATACATGGAGTCGATAACACCAGAAATGTTAAGACATGCTTTTACTATGTTAGATTTAACAGTAGAATGTAGATGCACAATAGCAAATGCACTTGCACATTAGGTATCGACATACAAGCATGACTGAATCAACAAACAGATAACCAAGACCCCTAGACTTGTAGTTAACTAAACTTATCCATTACCATCAATGTTAAAGGAATAACTAGAATCTTTGTGTTCTCTCTTATTTCGCTTTCAATAACATTTCAAACCTTCATCGACAATAAGCACTTAACTATGACTTGGTTGAACAATTTCTACCTTACAGTTATGATCTTAGAAAATAGTCTTCCCTTGACAAATTCATGCATTGAAACCCAAAAGAGATAACTTGAGTTTAAAAGGGGGGACAAGAGAGAGAGCTGATATTAAGTCGAAAATCCTTCACTAACAGGCTTTATAAATTGTCCATCAGATCAACTACAAATCCTAGACCAATAAGATGATTTGGGAACCTCGGAAATATAGCAAAGCCTACAATTTCTCCATAGATTTTATTTAGAAGAAAAAAACAGCCTAATAATCCAAATTTTAGGCACATTTGAATGTTACAAATTATTGCTGTTTATTAAGAAACCTTCAAGGGTAAGAGAATTTCGTTTCTCTAGCACAAATAGCACTGAAAAAGCCATAATAGTGATGGGGAAAGAAGATAGATGAGAAAAAGCAAGTTAAAGAACTAATTCATTTGTAAAGAACTAGACAAGACTTACAGGAGCATGGGTGTTTAAGAAATGCTCCTCAGCATGCTTTTTTGGGACCATGTCACCACAAACTTTACATTTTTCAAGATTACGAGAACAATGAGCATAATGCAAATCAATATTTGAAGAAGGTATGGCCCTGTCACTGAACCATCAAAAAGGAAAAATACTTGTTAAAGAGTTTTTCTGCGAGGAAATTTCCATAATTATTATATATTTGAGTAAGAGGAACTTCTTCCTCATAAAACTGAATTAGAGAACACATCATTGCAACATCAAATTAATTAGCAAATACCAAGCACTTCAAACCAGAGGCATACATCAATCAAAACACAACTCAGAAAATGATAATGCACTTCCATCTTGCAAGAAAACAAGACAGTAGACAAACCTCGGTAATCTTTCATCGACAACTCACCTTCCTAACCGTGTAAGCACACTTCACTGATGTCATTATGAATTACGAGCATTCATAATAAATAGGAAGAAATGAAAGCTTCAAGCTTTATTCAATATATGCAACACAGTTCCCAGCATCAAGAGGATTGCAAAGTTATAGTCAATAGAAAACTAGCAAAAGCAAAACAAAACACCAACACTTATGTTGAAATGTTCAAAATTCCCGATAATCACAGTCAAACTTTAAAAATTCAATGGAATTTCAACTATGGGTAACGACAAATGCTCATGAAGGCATAAACGCATCAAATAAACACGATTCGGGTCCTGACAGACATCAAAGCAGATAATTCAACTAAAGTAATTCCCTCTCCAGCTTGATTTGGTTCACTTAAATTACTAATCATTTCTTAATAAATGGAATTCTAGAAAAATCAGGCAAGAAAATTTCCCACAACGCCAATAATAAAAAAACAATTTTTAAGCATAAAGACAATCTGAGCCGATATAAGAACAGAAACAAATGAACTAGGATCCCGAAGACAAGAAACATGTTGCGTTTAAAATTGAACGAATGGAAATTAATTCAAGAAGAGGATCACGGATTCATGCTAATAATAAATACCAGTGATCGCACATGCTGGTGGTTTCGTCCGAAGCTATTGCCATAGCCATTCGCTCAAAATCTTTGGTCGACAAAAAGAAAATTCCTAAATCAATTAAAAATAAAAAATTGAAATCGGATGCAATAATTAAAATTCCTAATCAATGTTAGCAATTAAACTAAACCTGCAAAAAGCCCTTGATTTTCGTAGGAAACCCTCCTCTCCTCTTTCCTTTCTATTTTCTTTTTTCCCTTTTTTGCCCAAAATTTATAAGGGAAAGAAATAAAATAAAATTTTGGAGCGAAGACAGAGAATTACGTTGATGAGTACCTTGGTTGAACAAACTTAGATGAATGACTTTGGGGCCCACACATATCATCCTTTTCTTACCCACGCGCCCCCAGTGGCGGTTGAGTACCACTATTTGCAATTTGGGAATTGGGATCATGGCGTTCAAAATTTGCTGGACTTATATTTCATTATTGGGCCTTCAGCAATAAGCCCTACAAAAATAACTAACTTTTTTATTCACAAATTTACACAAAATTATCAACATAAAACTGTAGGAATATATTACATAGTTTATACACTATTAATTAATGAATAAAATATAAACAAGTAAAAGAAAAAAAATAAAAACTAAAATAGATGGTTTCCATACCAAAAAAAGGACACTAGTCTTTTCCCTTTGCGCTTTGTCCTTTGCCATATTAATATTTAATCATTTATGTATTTATCCAATTACTCATACTTGAAAACGTGCACATGTTTTCGCGATTGCATGTGGACTGACTTATTGTGTTCGTCTTAACTAATAAAACAACAAAAAATAGTATACGTATCTTTCAATAATTAGAGTAGAATTTAAAATATACGGATATTAATAATTCCTGACAATTTTGACTGCTGAATCATATAATTATTTTATGCTGCGATAAAGATTATTCTTTCAACTTGCGTCTAAGAAATTTTAGCTGAAATCCAACATTTTGGCACCAATTTAGATGGATGTTCAACGACATTAGTTAATTATTTTTGAGTGCATATAAGTATATTATTAATAGTTAGGAACGGAGTTTGAATATCAATTTAAAAGGATAAACTCTAATTAACAATAAAAATTAGGGTGGAAAAAATTAAATTAAACTAAAAGTATGAGATCTAAATATTACAATTTAAAATTTTGAGTTATATATTGATTGTGGTATAAGATTAAGTTGTGTCATTGTTTCCTGAGTTTTATTTTATTTCTCATAAAACGATTTTTATCAATTATACACAAGTTCTCAAATATGTTTATAATTAATTAATTTAATATAATAATTATTTTAACTGGGTTTAGTGTTTGTCTTTACTGAGAAGGATTCCAAAAGTTACGTGGATGGATGGGCTAGGATTGCATTGCAAAAGGAGGTTACTAATGGTCTTCCATTATTATGGATTGTAAAATATTGGATGTGAGTGAAACAGATTAGGCTGGTGATCCGGGCCTTGTAAATACACGTCTTAATGATAATGGACTTCTTGCCCATTCATTTGGTGAGATTGTTGCAGACTTGATTAATTCCTTTCTTTCCAATGCGCCGGGCATTGGCAATGGGTTGGCTACCCATGCCACTAAGGACATTGCCTTCCATTCTTTGAGTTCATCTGCTGAGAATTACTCAATCTCTAATTTAGACTCTCTATTGTTCCCCATTTTACTACTAGGGCTTCACCATTGGTAAACAGAAGAAAATTGGTTCAATATATGAAATTATTAAGAAATTCCATTTGGAGGCTTAGAAAAATCGTTAAGGGTGAGGAAGGAAAAGCTTCATAAACCAATTTGGGGTCTTTCCAGTTTTAAAGTGGTAAATGGTTCTCTTACCAGTTCATACATTCTTAATATAAGGCGTATTATTTATGAAAAAGTTTAAAAAAAATTAAGACTTGAGCCTTGACCAAAACTGTGATATAGCGAATTGCGAACTTCATTAGAATTAATGAGTTACACTAATTTATTTGAGCGTGTTAAAAATGGGGTTCTCATATGCCTACATGGTTCACGTGGGTTCGACCAATCAACGTTTGAGCTTCCAGACAGTCATCAAACCCTAGATAATAAGTTTACCTAACGGATAATAATAAATATTTGTATCGAGATATCATGTTGTCATTGGACTGAAAGTCGCCTAAACTTATGCTTTTTGGCTCTGATTTTAGTTCTTCCTTAATTCTGCCATTGGACTGAAACTCAACGGAGCTACATAAACCACTAGCTAGGACTGGCCATCATATTCCTGATGTTGGTATCATGTTCTTCACGTGTATTTGGCAACTCCCGTGATCTCAGATATGCATCCCCATATACCAAGATTTATCCATGTTTCAAAAAGAATCATGGGATTGTGTTTTATGCACATCTTACAAGCTTAGTGGAAGACATTATTATTCATATCCACAAAATATGTGTTCGATCCATGCGTATTTATAAGCAACATTTCTGTTTTAATTATTTTGATATGCTAGTAAAATATCAAAATATGTATTAATATTTTTGAATTCAAACTTTAAATCGATTAGATGTCACTTCTTATATTACTTTGAACAATACTTTTTATTAATTATTTAAGTTAGTTTAGGATAAGCAAATAATGCATTGAATTAATTCTTTATCTTAAACATAATTAATTATATATAAAGAAATCATCAAAACGTGTATCAATATAATAATATTGTATGCAATTAACATGTTCCTAAAGTGGATATAGAATATAGATGACTTGTTGTAAATAACTATACACTACAAGAAAATATATCTTTAATGACATACGCTAATTTATGACTTGCAAAAAATGTGTGTCATAAAAAATGTCATGATTTTTAAAATCTGAACGATTTATGACTTACAATAATGTATGTCATATTTAATAGTCATAATCCAAAAAATTTGCAAAAACACGGAGTATAGTTTTAATTGTGTGTTATCTGTAAAAGTCGTATTTTAATTTCCCCCATTATTTTAATCATTTCCCGTTTCTTCCCCCCTCGATAACAAAGTTCACGCCGCATGCTTCCCCTATATTTCTCTTTTTCCCTTTTTTCTTTGCAACCTCCCACTGGTTTGGCCATTCACCACAACGCAGACGAGGGAGTCAAAATTCAAGGGTTTCCACAGGTATTCCTTGTTCTCTATTCCAACATTTAGGGTTTTGTTGATTTCTATTTTGTCTGATTTAATGGGTTTGATGCTTTTACTTCATATATATTGAAATTGAATCGAGATTTGTTGCTTGTTTAATTTTCTATTATTTGTTTAATCGCTACTGATTTGTTCATTTCATAGGTTCTTTAAGTGGGTTATTTCAGTTTTTATACTTCAGTGGACTCTTGTGCTAGTTCTTGAACTCTTTTTGATTTTTGAGTTTTGATGGATTATGTATTTTGGTTCAAAAATGTTGAATTTTGATTGTCTTGTGATATATGTTTTTTATGCTTGTTGAAATGTTTACAGACATATCTTGTTTCTGCTAGCATATTCGTTTACCCCAATGTCGATTATTTGTTGCTTAAAAACTTTTACATTTACCACATTGATGCTATATTTTGATAAAAATATAATAATAAGTTAAGAAATATAATAATAATTAGAGGGAATTTTATAAGGGACATACCTCCGTAGGCGACATTGAAGCTCTAAAACTTGGAGTTTCTTCAATTCTATAATACTTTTGGTTTTTGTTGATATATCTTCAGATGAGCTTACATTTCCCTACATGTGAATGCATTAGTTGCAAAACAATTTATCTGCAGAATCATAGATCCATAGTGAAACTATATATTTCTTTGAGCTCCCTATTTATGATAGAAATTACACAAAATACATTGAAAAGGAAAAGAAAGGAAAATAAAAAGATCCACCTTCTTAAAAAGGGATAAGTTTCAACACACATGTTGACAATAGAAAAAAAAAGTTGACAACACCATAAGGTATCATGCAACTGCCAAAAAAACCTCAAAAGTTGTCTCAAGTCCTCGTTCATGTGATTTACCTATACTCAAAGTTCTTAAAAAATACCTTTGATTCTTTAATCAATTATTCCCTAGCAACAAAAGACCAATTTCACCCAGGTTTCTATGCTTTAGTTTTAAAAATTACCCATCATGCAACAAAATCAATTTCACCCAAGTTCATAAACTTAAATCACCTATTTCTAGCAAAAAGACGGCTTTTCCCATATGTTAAAGATGATTTCTTTTCTTTTCTATCTAGATCATAGACTATGATGCAGTATCCTAAACTCTAAAGCTAAATATAAAACTGCTCCATGTTCTATCACTTTTTATCAAAATGTTAAACATTTGGCATAGTTGGACTAGGTTTATATGCAAAATTACAATATTCACTCATCAAGCCGTTTAATAAGTGAGAGAAAGTTTGTGTTTCCAACATTCATGTTTAGAGAGTAAAAGTTACAAGTAATTTGTACAAAAGAGGTAAAATTAGACAAATCATGTATTTCAAAAGTACCACACCAACATCAATTCATCAAGACACTTAAAACTGGAGCATAAATCCCAAAGGATAATAGGATAAAAACAAAAGGCAATGAAGTAAGACATAAACTGATCTCTAGTTAAGATAGAATTCAAGCCTTACATTCTCCAACTCATCAAATTATTTGAGTTTATTTTTGTGAATTGAATCATTGTGGCTTTCCTTATTTTCAATTGGGTTTTCAAATAATTTATCTAACATTGTTAGGGTTTATTCTAGTTTCGATTGGGTTTTTTAGATTTTATGAATGGGTCATAACCCTTGAACATTGTTCTATAACATAGTACAAAATGAATTTGTTAGGGTTACTTTGTACTCGGTAATTTGGGGTAAACATTTTGTTCTTCATATCTTACATAAATATTTCATCAATCATCAGTTATAAAGTTGTAGTTTTGCTAATACTTTATAATTATTTAGGTTGGTAAGTAATGGTCGATGGATAAATCATGGATTTCGTCTGATAGGTTATATGATGCATATGAAGTGGGTGTAAACACCTTTCTAGAGTTTGCACAAAGTAATGATCCAAATTCAGATCTTATTCAATGTCCTTGTATACATTGTATCAATTTGTGGCACTACTCAATTCAGACCGTGCGCTATCATCTGTTTGCCTCTGACTTCAATGAAAGTTATAAGGTTTAGTCTTTCCATGGAGAAAGATAGCCCGAGCTTGATTCTAGATGCCCTAACAAATCTATTTCTCCCGACTTTGATTATACAAGAGATATGGTACATGATGCCTTCAGAGATGTAGAAAAAGAACCCAATTCATTGAAGTCACTTC